CCCTTCCCTTCTGAGCAACAGGGACAGACTCTGTGCCAGAGACCTGTACCCCATGGCTTACCCATGGAAAGTCGTCACCCCAACAGTATTCAAAACAGTATACTTGTTTTTGAGGTGAACAGCCACAGGGGATCCCTGCACTGTCTGCCTGTTCCCTTTCCGTCCCCTGACTGTAACCCATCTACCTTTGTCCTGTACCTGAGGTGTGACTACCTCCCTGTAACTCCTCTCAATTACCCCCTCAGCCTCCCGAATGATCCAAAGTTCATCCAGCTCCAGTTCCCAAACGCGGTTTCCGAGGAGCTGGAGTTGGGTGCACTTCCCACAGATGAAGTCATTGGGGACATTAGTGGTGACCCTTACCTCCCACATTCTACAGCATTGAAGTATACACACTTCAAACCATCCCTGTGTCCACAATTTTGCTGCATCGACCACATTTCTTTATTAACAACCTCACTCCCTGTTGTGTCTGTTGAAAGGCTGAATACCTCATCCTCTGAATTACAAATTTGGTTCCCCACCCCCTGCCAATCTAGTTTAAACCATCCCGTATAGCTTGAGCAAACCTCCCTCCCAGGATATTTGTGCCCTTCTGGTTCAGGTGCAACTCGTCCTTACTGTACAGGTCCCACCTTCCCCAGAATGTGCTCCAATTATCCACATAATGGAAGCCCTCCCTCCTACACCAGCCCTGTAGTCACAGTTTTAGCTGCACTCTCTCCCTATTTCTTACCTCATTATCACGTGGCACTGGTAGTAATCCAGTGATAACTACCTTGTTTGTCCTGGACTTCAGCTTCCAACCTTCCTGCCTAAACTTGTTTTTCACATTCTCAGTCCTTTTTCTACCTATATCATTTGAACCGATGTGTACCGTGACTGCTGGTTGCTCACCCTCCCCCTTAAGGATCTTGGAGACATCACGGACCCTGGTACCTGGGAGTCAACATACCATCCGTTCATCTCGTTCGCTTTCACAGAACCGCCTATCTGTGCCTTTAACTATTGAATCCCCCATTACATTTGCTGTCCTATTCTCCCCTCTTCCCTTCTGAGCCACAGAGCCAGAACCTGTACTAGAGACTTGGTCCTTGTGGCTTACCCCTGGTAGGTCGCAACCTCCCCCCGGCACCCCCCCCCACCCCCCTCTCCCCCAACCGCCAGAATTATCCAAAACAGTATACTTATTGTTGAGGGGAGCAACCACAGGGGATGCCTGCACTGACTGTTTCCTTTCCTTCCCTTCCCTTCTCTTAATGTCAGCCAAGTGCTTTCGTTCTTAGGGGTAACTATGTCCCTGTAGCTCGTTTCTATCATCACCTCAGCCTCCCGAATGATCCTGTGTTCATCCAGCTCCAGTTCCAGTTCCAGTAGTAATCAGTTGATGTGAATTTGTACTTAGCTCTTCATGATAAATCACAAGCGCAGAACAGACAGAAGAAAACGAATGTTCCGCACACTTTATGAACAGGAAATTGAAGTCAAGGTGGTGGATGCTGTGGATGGGAAGTAAGTACTGATCTTGAAGAAAATAACACACGATAATCCTGTGTAGAGATAACAAGATGTAGAGCTGGATGAACAGCAGGCCAAGCAGGATCAGAGGAGCAGGAAGGCTGACATTTCGGGCCTAGACCCTTGTTCAGAAAATGAAAAGAAGTGAGAGGGCCCCGTGCCCACGTGGGTGGACAGTGTGGGCAAGGTGGGCCGAGTGGCCTCCTCCTCCTCCTGCTGCTGCAGGGCACCTCGGTTGATTCCTGCCCAATTTAAAGGGAACAGCCGAAGGAGGGACAAACATGGCGTCGCAATCAGGAAGGGCATTAGCAAGGTCCAGTTTGGTCACCTTGACTTGACAGAGCGCATCAAAATGGCGGCGCTGAAAATGCGCCCCCTGCTCAATAGTAAACAGGTATATGCGGTGATGGGGGTTGGGGGAGGGGGTTAGGGAGTGGGGGTTGGGTTGTCGGGGTGGGGGGAGACTTCGGGTTGGGATGGATGACCCTGTGGGGCACATGCCTGGTCCTGATTCCCACCCCACCCCGTGGACATTGGGGTGCGCGCCCCCACTCTCCACGTGCTGCCAGGTCATAATATGCTCGGCCCTCGTTACCAGATGGATGTCGACCCCGTAGAATCGGCGGTTCCCAGAACCGCAGGGGCCGTCACGTGCAAGAAGCGGGACGTTTTGCAGAGCCGGGAGAGAAGTGTCCACTCACTCGGAGTGCGGGGGGGCTCATTTGCCTCCCTCGCCTCCCCCTCCACCCCCCCACACCCCTCTCCAGCTCTGGAGCAAGTCGCGTGTTCCTGCAGCACCCGACTCCGGGCAAAGTCGTTTTGAGGAAGGTCAACCGCTCGGGGAGCAACCGTTGGAGGTTTTCAACTGCCTTCCCCACCCCCTCAGTACCTGTCACCATGGAGCCTGGACAATTCTGCCCTAAATCTCTGCAATGGTACGTAACAAAAAAATAATCAGTAGTAATTCTTCATCTTTTATTTCCCCATTAATTTCAATCCCAGCACAGGGTCATGGAAAACAGGACTAACACAAATTTCTGAAGAAGGGTCCCGACCCGAAACGTCAACTTTCCTGCTTTTCTGATGCTGCCTGGCCTGCTGTGTCCCTCCAGCTCCACACTGTGTTATCTCTGACTCCAGTATCGGCAGTTCTTACTATCTCCGAGTGAGGTAAAACAGGAAAGTTCTGACCAGGAATTAAAAAGCAGGTTGTGACCAGAGAAGAATGCCGTTGGAATGATCATACGAGAGTTAAAACAGAGAAGGAGGCCATCGGGTCCATGCTAGCTCTCTGCAGGAGCAACTCATCTCATCCCACTCCCTACCAATATATCATAGAATGCCCTCTGTCTGTAAATTTTTCTTTCCCGAGACACTTGTTCATTTGTTTTTCTTTTGAGAACAAAGATTGAATCCCCATTGTCAGGCAATGTATTGCTGACCCTAACCACTGTGTTAAAACACTTCCTCATGTCACAAACAAAAACAAAGTTGCTGCAAAAGCTTGGCGGATCTGGCAGCACTCTGAAGTAAAAAAAGACAGTTATCGTTTCGGGTCCGGTGACCCTTCCTCATATCGCCATTGTTTCTTTTGTCAATCTTTTAATACCAGAGTCCTCTGGTCTTGACCCTTCAACCAATGGGAACCGTATCTCCATTTATGTTTCTCTCCATCTAGTCTACCCAGCCCCCCTCATGATTTTGAATACCTCTGTCAAATCTCCTCTTAATTCTCTCAAGAAGGACAACCTCAGTTTCTCCACTCTATCCACCCCACTGATATTCTTCATTCCTGGAACCATTTTGCTGATTCTCCACCCCCTCCCCACTTCCCCTCCCCCCCAACACACTCACTGCACACGTGCACGCACACAGACACACACACACACACACACACATACACATGCACACACGCACACACACACACAGTGCTCTTTCTAATGCCTTCACATCTTTTTTAAAGTGCAGTGCCCAGAACTAGACACAACTCTTCTCTCGAGGCTGAAGTGTTGTTTCATACAGGTTCATCATAATTCCTTGCTCTGAATTTTCCGATGGTAAGACAATTGTTGTTCCCTGTGTAGATGGGAGTTTCACATGGGGACCCTGTGAAATTCCCAGGAATTGTCTAAGAAGTTGAAGATTATGTTGAGCAATTCCCCAACTCCTGGAATCCTCTGAAACTATGCATTTAATTCGGAGAATTAAGGGTTTGAAGAACTTAAATAGTTACTCAGGAAATGTTATACTATTAAATACGTTAGTCTAACTCTGAGGCATATAAATAACAAGTAGGACAGGAATGCCAATGCTTCACCGGAGGCCCACTGACGATGTTACCGAGCGGGGTGATGAAACATCTACCTTCGAACACACCAGCTCGGCGATCAAGTCTACAATCTAGTCCTTGACTTGAGCACTGCCTCTTCAGAGTATCAGAACCTCTAACACTCCTGTTCATATCTGTCAGCCATTCCTCCCTAATTGGACGAAGTCAACAGCTCCAGTCAGAGAACTCATATTCTGTGAGGTCCAGCTGGCTGACCTCATTACAATCACAACACGAGAGAACTGTTAGAATGGATGTATGGCTCTGCATTTCTGAAGGAGCCCCGAGCAGACTATCCTGTCAGAAAAGTGGAGCTCCCTTCTTGCCTTGGCGAAAGAAGGGCTTGAATGTCAATCTGCATAACATTCTAATTTTCTGGAACATCTGCCATTGGTGCTCCTATACCTTTACTTAGCCCAGGACCTGCATACTTCAACTGATTTTCAAACCTGTCCTGTCTTCAGTGATCTATTCACAATTAACCTGTTGCTTCTGCATACCTTTTTGAGCCGTGACTTTTGTTTTGTCTTGCTTCTCCTCTGTTTTTCTCCCAAGACATTGTACTTCTCTACATTAAATTTCATCTCGCGTGTCCACTCATTCCACTACCCTGTCTGTGTTCGCTTGATGTTGATCATTACCCTCCTCTCAGGTCTCAGAAATTGCAGGTTTTGCTTCATTGTACTCTGTGCACAAGCCTAGATCATTAACATGTATCAACAAACAAAGTGGTCCTCACATTGGGGCCCAGAGGCTCCACTGTGTCTCATCCTCTGGTCTGAGATGGGAGAGATGATACTGGCTCTAGCAGAGCATGAACCAGATGACTCCAAACTGAACAAGCAGGGTTTATGCTGCAATGAATCAACAATGCTATAAGCTCAGGACAAGGTTTTTAAATAGTGATCCACATGCCTCAAACCCAATGGCAACATAAGGTTGGAACTGGTTAATGACAGGAAAAAACTGCAGGCTCAGTAGTCATTCCAGGTTATTTCATATCATGGATGGGTTATTCCACAATAGTTTTTAACCCGCCTCCAACTCAGAAATAGGGCATAATAATGTGACAGATGTTTTGTATTGACAGAGCCCTCAACACAAGCCATCTGAAAGCTCTTAACATTGAAATGTTGCCAGGATATCATGACCTTTACTCAGGAAGAATACTGACACGGGGAGAGAGAGGCTGCTTCCTGAGTCATTATTATATCTGGAAAGAGGTAAGAAGATTGATCCTAAAGTACTCGTTCACATGATCACAAGTGTTTGTAGGTGTGTTGTTGAAGTATGTTTGTCCCTCTCCAAAGATTTCATGAGAACTCTGAGAATGTTCCATCTCTTGAGGTAAATGCAAACGGATGTCTTAGATGTGAACATGGGAGCAAAACACTGCAGATACTGGAAATTTAAATTACAATTAAAACAAGGCCGGAAATGTTAAACAGATTGGGCAGCATCTGAGGGGAGAAAAACAGAGTTAGTATTTCAGATTAAAGACCTTTCAACAGAGCAGAAGAGAAATGAGATTTTGAGTGTAAAATCTCCTCACTTTCTGTTTTTCTTTAGTGTTGATGAAAGGTCATCGCTTGAATCATTAACTCTGTTTCTCTCCAGATGTCACCAGACAGCTTACTTTTTCTTACTGATTTTTGCTGTTATATTGGCACATCTTACATAGAACCATAATTTCAGAAATTAAATCCTTGCTTAATTTTTATTTTGAATGTTTTCCATAAAAAAGTTTTGCCCCTCTCCTTCCTTATGCCTCTTGTGCCATCTCTGATGGAGATGTGGAGCTGTACTGCTCTGGTTATTCTGGTAGATTCAGTCCCACAATGATATGTTGTATATCCTGGGTAACCCACCATAGAAAGAAACAGTTGATCGATTTGAGGCATGGTGCTTCCCTTTCATATTTGCATTAAGTTATACAGAAGAGGAATGGACCTGTTTATGGAAGCTTCCTTTTGATGCATGCATAAGTAAAATAGATAGTTTAATCTGCATCCTGTGCTGCCAGCTAAGACAGAGTGAACCTGATAGTGCACCCAGGCCTAATCCTCTGCCAGCATCTCTCTGATATTACTCCCTTAGAATCCATCACTCCATTGATTCCTTGATTCACAAGTATGATTCGCCCACAAAGGAGGATCCTTATTTAGGCTCTACCCCCATGTGGATGTTCCCATGCACAGGTCCACGATTCTTCCTGGAAGTAATTGGAATGATCAAAGATTAGCATTTCCCCATGGCAGCCTTGTACGTTTTCTAAGGAAGTAATAGTGGAGAGATGCTAGCATTGAGGCCTGGGTCCTCAACCAGGCCCACTCTGCCTCAGATGGCAGCTGAAATTACAGATCAGAATGTCTGTCTTACTCCTGCTCGCATCAGAAGGAAATTTCTGTGAAAGGGAGCATTGTTCTTGTGAATAACTTTGTGCAAATGGTCAAAGGGATGCACCATGCCTCAAATCTGCCAACCAGTTCTTTTTATGCTGGATTATCCCGGATATAGAGCAGATCATTTTGTACCTGACTCTACCAGAATAACCAGAGCAGTAGAGCTCCCCATCGCTATTAGAGATGGCATGGAGGTATCAGTCGATTTAACGTGTTTTGTCTTCAGCAAATTTCTCCATTTTCTTCCCAATCTTTTGAATAATAATCTTGCTTCCGGTGTGACAGATTGCAACTTGACAGCTGTCATGTGCATTGCAAGAGTTAAGTCCTTATAAACCCCATCAATCGATGGATGATTCAACAGCCCTGTACAATCTGTCACTCCGTTTAGGAGTGCTTCCTGGACCTCCTATTTGTGAATTATCCTGGAATCTTTTTGGCTTAAGAGAAAATGAACATCAGTCTTGCATGTTCACTTGTTTAGCTTGCAGTTGTTAGCTATGTTATGAACTGGCCACATGCATACCAATGTTTTCAATTACAACATAAACAGAAGTTGCTGGAAAAGCTCAGCAGATCTGGCAGCATCTCTGAAGGAAAAAAGAATCAGAGTTAACGTTTCAGGTCCAGTGACCCCTCCTCTAAACAAGGCATGGTGCATGGTGCAGGAGGCTAGGAGGCTAGGACATGGGAAAGTTAAGGCCCTAAAATTATTGAACACGATATTGAGTTTGGAGGACTGCAGGGTCTCCAAGCGGAAAATGAGGTGTTGATCTTCCAGCTTGCGTTCAGCTTCACTGGAACACTGCAGCAAGCCAGAGACAGCGACGTTGGCCAGGAAACAGGGTGGTATGTTAAAGTTGCAGGCAACTGGAAGCTCAGGGTCTTTTTTTTGCGAGCAGTATGTAGATGTTCTGCGAAGCAGTCACCCAGTCTACGCTTCATTTTCCCCAATGTCGAGGAGACCACATTGTGAGCAGCTAAGCACCCTCCTAGTCAGATTGTTATCAACTCCTTTGTCTATCCAACTGCTCTTCTGTCTCTTCGGGCTCTATCCTTTATCCTATCGTTTACTCCCTACCCCATCCCCCTCCCTATTTTCTGCAATTAAATGGATTATATCCCAGCTACCATCAGTTCTGAGGAAGGATCACCAGACCGAAAACGTTAACTCTGATTTTTTTTTCTTCATTGTTGCCAGACTTGCTGAGCTTTACCAGCAACTTCTGTTTTTGTTCCTGATTTACAGCATCTGTAGGTTTTCCATTTTTATTTTCAATTGCAATCTGAATTTCTGAGCTATTATCTAACGTGTATTCATTTTTAATACTAGCACAGTGCAGCAACTAGATAAAAGGCAAAACCAAATGAGTTATCATCTCTGCACCTGTGAATAAAACCATTTTTTGTTTGCGATCTTACGTCTGTGTATTTATCATGAAATGTTGTATAGATTTATTAGTTACCCCAGCAATGACGCTTGTGATCTCAGATAATAGCTCCTCAGTTATAATAACTTCAATAACTTGCCTGCTGTACAATGTATTCAGTTGACAAAACATGACATGTTATACATCACCAGATGTGAGCAATCGGCAATTATTTTCCAATGTCTAGTATACAATGCTGTCTCGTTTGACAGTGTTGGACAAAGTACCCATTGTCACACACTTTCAAAATTAATGGACTGTCAATATTACATTTCACATTTTGGCACCTAGACAAATCACCATTGATCTCAGGTATAGATGTCAGAGGGAATTTGTGGTGGAAACCACATGCTGTTTAACAAAGAAGATAGTGTCACCTATGCAGATATCAAGCAACTGCTTATAACTCACAGGAATGTTTAGTTGGAGTTTTAAATTTGATCTGTACAAAGGTGAATTGCTGCTGTGGAAAAGGATCGCATATACATCTGTGGTCTCACCACTTTACAGTTGACAGATACTACTTCAGTTGTTTAATTTAGAAATTAAGCATTGAGCACTTTCCAGATTGAAATGTTCTTGCCTTAGTAAATATGCTGATCAGTTTACAGCTGATTTGCATCTCAACTTACTTGTTACTTAAACCTAAGGCCTTTTGCCCTTGCCATCACATACTTAACTGCAGAGTACTGCATGTTAATAATCTGCCCATCACGAAACCAATCAATATGCAAATCCAGTACACACACGTACACGTACACACAAGTACATGCACACGCGCCCGCACACCCATATCCCTAGCTCCCACCTGAGCAATCCCGCTCCTCTCTTCTAACAGGCAGGTGATTTCGAATGGATAGCTATGTCTATTCCAACCCATACCTGCCCTTATTCAATGACCTCCTTCACCCACCTGCAGTGTGCCTTCACTCACACTCTCCCCCATCATGGACCCAGTTGTTTGCTCACCTGGCTTTAATCTGCAGGACGACAGTGGACACTTTTAAGCCAAGACCTCTGAGCAGCTGTCCAACATCAATGGAGTCACAAGGGTGCAGCCGTGGTCTATCCAAACTCTCTTTGTTCAGGAGTATCCACTGACTAAACTGGAAGCTATGTTGAAAGAATTGCCTAGCCACTGACAAAGGCTACTGCTTAATTCTGTGACCATGCACTAACTAACTAAATAAATAAGTTTTTATTCATCCACCTTGGTTCTATAGTCCTTAATACTGTTGTCAAGCAAAAATCTGTCAGTCGTAATTTTGAATTTTTCAATTGACCCTCAGCATCAGTAGCTTTCTGTGAGAAAGTTCCAGATTTCCACAACTTTTAGTGTAAAATAACACTTCCTGATTTCATTGCTGGGTAGCCTAGCATTAATTTTCAGATTATGCTCATTGTTTTAAACTCTCTCGCCAAAGGAAATAATTGATCTCTATGGACGCAAATGAAATAAATCTCTTAAACACTTCAACTCAGTGTGTTCTTAGTCCTCCATACATGAGGGATACAGGCCTAGTCTGTGCCACAGAACGGTTTTAAATGTTCTGTCCCTATCACACAGGTCATTGATGGAGGCTGCAGAAGGTTCTTGTCTTGGAGGATGATAATAGGTTTCAGCCACATTTTTGAAGAAGGATAACAAAGCTAATGGAAGATATCAAGGAGAATCAGCTGGACTGGGACCTGATGTGAGTCTGAACATGTGACAAATGATTAAAATCTCAAGGCAGAATCCTGTCCATCTAAGATGTGGTGGGGAAGGTGGCAGAAAGGGGAGAGAATCTGGTGCGATGGCATGGGAGAGATACCTGCCACCTTCAACAGGAATTGCAGAGTTGGTAGGAAGGCCCAGATTTTGCCGCTGGCCCACTGTCAATTGAGGATCTTACGTGGTTCAGTGCTGACCACTGCACTCCATTGCTATGAGTAATTCCATTCCCGCTGAACAAGAACAGCGACAGCGTGCCCAAATGGTAAACAGTTTGGGGTGTGGGAGCGATTGCTCAATCTGGCCCTATCTAGGGACATTCAGGGGTGTGGCCACTGCAAAACATCACACTGCCCTTGCCTCTGACCCCTCCGGTCTTTGACCCTACTTGCAGCCCACGCTGCACGATGCCCTGCTCTCACCCCCACCCCACCATTTCCTGTTTGCAGTGTGGTGGAGGGTGGTGAGGATGGAGGTGTGGGGTGGGGGAGGTTTGGTTGGTGTGTCCCATGTATAATGGCACCTGTCAGCAAAAAAACCCATACATTTCCAGCCTTAAAATTGAGGATTGCAAAGTCCTTCTGATTTACCTCTGTTTTCTGAACTAGATTTCTACAAGAACCTTCAATGAGAGATCTTGGACTTTAAACCAATTTGCTGAATTAAATGGGGGATAGAACAATTTCTAACCTGCAACTTCTGGAGTCGCTCCGATGCAGCAAGTTAGGCATTGGTCTTTCAGTCCTTAAAGGGCTGATCCCAATTTAGCCTTGACTGATGAGCTCTGGTGTCTGTAATGGTCTGGAAAGAAGTCGATGTGAACTGTTTCAGTTTAGCTCAGAGGGAGTGGGCTTACAATGGAAATTTTCAGGAATGGCATATGGTGAGACCATGGGATGGTGCAGTAGATGTTGCTTTTCTAATTTGGGGCTGAAGGTCTTTCGGTCATTATTTTGCATCCTGCCATGTTCCTGGGAACAGTTGATGATAACACTGGCTTTGAGGAGTAAGATTAGATTAACCTACCCACTACTTCAAAGTGCTTGATATACTGGTCAGAGCTGTTATCTGTGTCACTTCTGAGTTTAAATAACAAGGATTAGGAGGGGAAACTGGAAGTTGTAGCTGAGCAGTGCAATATTGGAAATCAATAAACAGTATGAAAATAATAGCGCTATTTGGAAAACAAAACAAGGGAATATGGTGAGTACTCAATGTTAGAGTTGGACTTTGAGTATCCCTTTACGTTCAAATTGCTGCTATTAATTTGCGTTGTCCTATCTGGTGAACGATTTTGACCACTTAGATCTTAGTATTGTTTTCTTTCCTCTTGTTTGTTTATCAAAGCACTACACTAAAATAGGTGGAAATGTCGATTGTGAGATGGATACAAACAGTTTGTGGGGATTTTGATAAGCTGGGTAAGTGGGCAAAAAATTTTTCAGTGGGGTATAATGTGGGAAAATGTGAAGTAGCTCACAGGCCTGTAATTTGCTGGACTATCCCTGCTATCCTTCATAAACAATGTGACAACATTTAGCTATTCCCCAGTCCTGTGGCACCTCACCTGTGGCCAAAGAGGATACGGAGATGTCTCTCAATGTTTCAGAAATTTGTTTTCATGCCTCCCTCAGTATTGTGGGATGGATCCCATCAGTACTTGGGCACTTATCTACCGTAATACATTTTAAGACGCATAACCCTCTTCCTTTTTAATAGCAACTTGGCTTAGAAATTCAACACTCCCTTCCCTGAGATTATCCTCCCCCAACTCCTTCTCTTTGGTGAATACAGACACAAAGTATTTGTTTAGGACCTCCCCTACCTCTTCTGGCTCCGCACATAGATTCCATTCTTTGTCCTTGAGTGGGCTAATGCTTTCCTGGCTACCCTCTTGCTTCTTATGTATGTATAAAAAGCCTTGAGATCCTCCTTAATCCTGTTTGCTCAAGACTTTTCATGACCTCTTCTAAATCCTTGTTTAAATTCTTTCCTACTTTTCTTGTATACTTTAAGGGCTTTGTCTGTTCCCATCCTCCGAGTCCCTGCATATGCTTCCTTTTGACCAAGGTCATAACATCCCTGGTCATCGAAGGTTCGAGTAACTTGCCATACCTATCTATCATTATCGCTGGAACATGTCGCTCCTGAACACTTATCTCCTGCCTTTTCAAATACTCCCACACATCTGATGTGGATTTATCCTCAAACAGCCGCCTCCAATCAAAATTCTCCAGTTTCTGCCTAATATTGTTGTAGTTCGCCTTCCAATTTAACACCTTCACCCGAGGACTATTGTTATCCCTCTGCATGTGTATCTTAATGTTGTGAGTTTTAAGGAAACCACTCCCAAAATGCTCCCTACTGAAACTCCACTAACCTGGCTGGGTTCATTTCTGAAAGCCAGGTCCAGTATAACCCCTTCCCTGATGGGATTGTTTACATGCTGGGTCAAGAAGCCCTCTTGAATGGTCTTTAGAAATTCTGCACCGTCCGAGCCCCTTGCACAAAGTGAGCCCTAATCAAGTTAGGGGAAGTTCAGATCACTCACCACAACAACCCTGCTGTTTTTACATCTTTCCAAAATCTGTCATCATCTTTTCTCTATCACCTGCTGGCTGTTGGGATGCCTGTAGCATACCCCCAGCACTGTGATTTCACCTTTCCTATTCCTGAGTTCTACCCATATTGCCTCACTGTAGCAGTCATCTGACGTATCCTCCCTCAGTATAGCTGTGAGATAGTCCTTTACCAGTAATGCAACTCACCCACTTCTTTTTACATGTCCTTCTATCACACCTGAAACATCTAAGTGCTGAGATGTTCAGCTGCCAGTCCAGTCCCTGTTCAGGACTGAAGAAGGATAATACCTGAAACGTTGACTTCTGCTTTCCTCCAGATGCTGCCTGGCTTGCTGTGTTCTTC